CGCCTCCCCTCTCAGTCAGGCTTGGACCACGGCACACATAGGCACAGAGACGCCAAGTCTTTAATTAAAAATAAATAAATATACACACACAAACCCACTCTCCAGCGCTCGGTGTTCCCCGAGGCACAGGCACACCCCCCGCACCCCTGGCCCGTCCCGGGCGCCTGCTCCGAGTCCCATCCCGCTCAGGAACGCCTTTTCCCCCCCTTAGAGCCCCAGAAACAAGCAGCCCACTACAAGCACCCTGTGGAGAAGGACAGCATTCCCATGGCCACAGACTCCAGAGGATTGTCCTGTCCCCCATGGAGCAGATGGCAGCGCTGTACACCTTGTCCTGTTTGTCACTGCAGACACATCACAGCCACACGTCCCCCACAGCACACAGAGCACAGCCAGCCCTGCCCCTGCCTGCTCACGGCACAGAACCCTTATTGCTTCTGCAGGCGTTTTTACCTCCCGGTCTCACCTCCTGCCCCAGCCCAGCCCCTCCCCTAGCGGCAAAGACTCCTAAAATGCTTGTGCTTCCCACAGGAGGTCTCCCACCTCCGTCAAGTACTCCGAGATTTTTAGATGAAAGGTGCAACCTGTTTTTAGTGCAAAATGCTATGTATGAGTTCAAACTCCACACAGGACATCATGGTCCGGGGCAGTTACCTGGTTTGGTCTCCTCATTGTAACCCTTACAGCCATGGGAGTCACACAGGAATGACAGGGATGATACCAACCCTGGAAAAGTCCAACCACTTTAACAGATTTCCAATCTATTCTCCAAGTTATCTAATACATAAAATGCAACACTAATTTTGCTTTTAGTCCTCACTGACGTGCTCAGAGGTGGGAAACACCAGGATTAAGGCTGCCTGCTCTGCCAGCCACCCACCTGCAACAGCCAACCATGCTTGCCCTTACAGACTCTGGCGCTGAAGATGTTTGACACCAACCCCCTCAAAATGCTCTTTTCACTGGTGCTTTCCCATCCCAAGTGCCCAACTCACTCTGCTTGACTTCCCCACGTGATCCTACAAGGTTTGCTACAAACAGGGCACAAATGCTATCACAAAAATGTAATTTAGAGAGTCACTATGTTGGTTTCGTTCATTTTTTGACACAGGCACCTCACAGCACCACTACTGCTGTGCTTGGAATGTTCTCATCACATCTGGGATGTGTACAGCTCGTGTGCAGGAGCAGCAACCCTCAAATCCCAAATCCCAGTGCAGAGCCCAGAAAAGCTTATTTTCCTCCAGCTTTGCAGGCTGCCACCATCCCAGTGGGACATGGATGGGACAGGGACACAGAGAGGACACTGGTGCCTGCAGTCCCATTTCCAGCCCTCAGGACCCCTCAGCAGAGTACTTGTACACCATAACACATGGAGACTTGATGACTAAGCCTTAAAGGCAGCTTTAATTCTGGCATTTCCCAAACTTTTGAGCACTTTGCTCCCTAAGTTTCAGCCAGGGCCATCTGTGCAGCCTGTGTGACTCCTAGTGAGATGGGCAACACCAGAGCCTTGCTGAGGTCTCACTGACAGGTACTGCCACTTCAGAGGGGAGCAGTGCTGTGTTGTGGCTGCCCTGAGCCTCCATCCAGGCAGATGTCCCCTGTAGGAACAGGCCATCCCACCTGTGGCACCTACAAGAGAACTGCCTCAGGGGGTTGACAGTGCTAACTGAAGCTCACCCAGCCTCACCCTGCCCTTCAAGGCCTGGCTCTGTAAAGGAGGTTCAAGAAAAAGCAGGACACTACCACATGGATCTTTTTCTTTGCACTACTAATGTGTACAGTGAAACATTCATAACTGCTGGACAGAGCAGAAATATGCTACATGGGAACTGTGCTGGAAAAAGCAGAGCCCCTGGGACAGCTGGAAAAGTTTGCAGAACAAAATCAGCATTCAACAGCCAGCTGCAGAGTATGCCACTGGAAACAGAGAAGAAGATAAACACAGTGGTCCTTTCCCCACAGTGGAATTGGTGCAATCCACAGACTCCTCTCTTCTTGGTCAGAGTTGGTGTCACATCAGGCACAGAATGGGCACTGCCCTCCATCAGAGCAGCAGGTGGTCCTGGGACAGCAGGGAGAGCTGGCAGTGTGCTCAGTACCTCAGGCAAGGGCCTGTCCCTCCTGCATTCAGTACTGCATGTGACACTGGAACCATCCAAGCTGTCCCTGCACAGAGGTGAGGACACCTCAGTGCTGGAGGGAGAAGGGAGCTGACACAGCCCTCTCCGTGGGATCCAGGGAACTGCAGGTCCATAGGAAACACAAAGCCAAGAAGTGGCTGCTCTCCTGGGAAGCACACACTGCCTGGATGGCAGACAAACCTCTGATGCAGACAAGTTCCAAACTGAGCGTCCCCGGGGGAATTAATTTACAAAGTGCCATTGGTCCTTGGAACCGAGTCTAGTGCACAGGATATATTACAGCACACACCAGCCCTGCAGCCCGTGCTGGCCCAGCTCTGCACTCTGTGCAGAAGGCCTCCAATATCCAGTCTTCTTTACAAGAAACTCCTTCCCTTTTCATACAAAGGAAAATAAAACCCTAAGTTAAACCAGCAATAAATAAAACTACGGGAGGTGTGTGTCCTGGTCAGCCCCCTTTGTGCATCCCAATCAGACTGGAGAGCTTCTCACAGTGCTCAAGTTTCAGGGACTCTGCCTTCTGTTTCAACCGCTCATCTCTGTACAGCTTGGCCAGGTTTGACAGGTCAGACTCTGAAAGATGGAAAAAAAGAAGTATTAGGATGAAGCCATGAGCCTCCTGTACAGAACTGTAATCCTTATGGCCCTTTTAATTCCCATTCTGTTGGGTATTGAACACAGGCAGGTGAACAGCTACTCCTCCAAAAGGCCTTTCATTAACAGCTCCCAATATGCTTTGCATATTTGTTCCCCTTCTTCTCAAGCACAACACAAAACTGAAATAATCCCATTGTTTATACTATTTTACCCCCAGTAATCAAGAAATTTCTCTGGCTGATAAGCTAAGGAAGCCTTAACATAGCTCTCTCCCTGCAGAATCATTTAGCTGCAGGATTGGATGCCCCGAGGAGAACAGCAGTAATTTCCCCCTGAAAAGGTCAACACCCCTGTAAACACAGGCTACCTGAAGGCACTCCATTTGTCAAAGAGCTTTTATACACCTTACAGCCCCTCATTACACAGAGAGTGGAAACAACTTCAATAGGCCCTTTCATGCCTCATGTCCTCTGCCCCTGTCCCACTGAAATTTAAAGCCACTTAACTCTGCACCCACTTACTGGGGATTCACAGAGTGACAGGCACCAACACTTCATTTCATCAGGGATACATTTCCAGGTTTCTAATCAAAATGCCACAAGAAGGGCTGGGCACAGAGCCTTGACAAGCCCCCAGCAAAACCAGATTGGGTAATTGTCTCTGAGCCCAGAGCACTTGGGACTGTGCAGTGGAGAGGCTCAGTCTCCACTTACCCCACTGGGGAAAATGATTCCCTGAACTTCTGACAGTGTTCATTCTGTCACACCTTTCTCTTGCGTATTCCAGTCTTTTACATAGTCATTCCTTGGAGCTTTGCTCTTTAAGGAGGTCCTAAAATACTGAATTCCAACTCCATTTACTTTAGATATATGGAAGGAATTCTTCCCTGTGAGGCTGCTGAGGCACTGGCACAGGTTGCCCAGAGCAGCTGTGGCTGCTCCATCCCTGGGAATGTTCTAGGCCAGGCTGGACAGGGCTTGGAGCAGCCTGGGCTGGGGGAAGGTGTCCCTGCCCATGGCAGGAGGTGGAACAAGATCCCTAAGGTTCCTTTTATCCCAAACCATCCCATGATTCCATGATACATATCCTGATTCCCTCTGTTTTCAGTTGCCTCTTTGTGACCTGGAGCTCTCTGCAGCCTCACTGTGCTGCTCCAGCTGAGCCACCTCCTGTAAAACCCTGGGATGTGCTTTATGTGCTTCACTCCATCAAAGATGTCAGGAGACCCAAACCTGCAGCACACACAGCTCTGCTGTGCAGGGATGAGCCCTGTCTGGTGCAGCACTACCAAAGCCACTGGCTGACAAGGTACCATCCATTACTTTTAAGGTTTTCCTTGAGGTTGTTGGACACCAGGTAACACTTTTCAGGTCACAAAATCAAATTTAAAACCCAAACTGTTCCTGTATGACTCATCTCTGTCCATTCTGCTGGTGCCAGAGAGAAACATCCCCTCAGTAAACACACAGATGTGTTATTAATAGACGTTCCACTGACAAAAAGTTGAGCCCATGAAGTCAAACACTTCAACAAGGATTAAGGGACCAACAGCTGACTGAGAACTGCCTCAACATCTTCAGAGGAGTGTTCCCCACTCTCCAGGCTGTGTTCACAGTCTCCTGTCACAAATGTGGCTGCATAAGCCAGCCCAGTGCCAGCTGTGCTCCTTACCTGCTCTCTGGCCTCTCTGGGAATCGCTTGGGGAATGTTTATTTTTAATGACAGTGCTGTCCTCAGGCCACTGCTAATTGTGGATGTGGTAAATGTATTTGCAGATGGGTGACTAATACAATCCCTGAGCATACAGGGCTCTGGAGGAGCACTGCTTGGCAAGCACTTGGCATTCCATGCTGGATCATCTCCCCCTCTCTGACTCACAAACCCTGTCCCCCTTTTTGGGGCTCAGCTCTCCTTAGCTCCAGGTCTCCATGAAAGAGATAATACAGTGACTTGCAATTGCACAAGGCCAATTAGGAGGATTTTGCTTTAAGAAATAAACTCTTTCACCACAGCAAGCCTACGTTTATGGGTATGAACAGCCACATCATCCCTAGAGGCTGCTTTTGCCACCCACAGAAGCTCAAAGTGCACAAGTCAAGCACACCAAAACCTTCAGGATATTTATAGTCTTGTATTATGGGCTATTTTCTTTTTTAACTTCAGAGCCTAGACCTGTTTATCTCTCTTTAAAAGCAAGATTGGTAATGTTGATGTAAAACAAATCAAACCAAGCCCTCCCATCACCAACCCGTGAAGAGTTCGGAGCCAGTGACACTATTGTTACCTCTCCTGTGACACTACTGTTACCACTCCTGTAGGATTAAATGAGTCTTGTTTAGACAAACTCTGTATTTCCATAATGATGCAACTGGTACAGAAACTGAAAACAAGTGCCAAGGCACTTCTGAGCAGTGTGCTGATTTACAGTGATTAAAAAAGCCCCTATCAGTGTAGGAAAGCAGCTTGCCTGCTGCTGGTGAACGTTCACACAGACACAGCAGAACTTGGTGTTTACTCATTTGAAGGTGAAATCAGTCATAACATCCCAACTTCAGCTACTCCGTGTAGTTTATTCCTGTTCTTTCCCACTGTTCCCAAGCAAGCAGAGGTTTGCTCTCTTTTTAATGAGCCACATTAGTAGTAATCAACAACTAATACAGTAAGGGGTTAAAATGCCTTAAAATACGGGGTTAACATGCCTATATTTGTGTCATGAAACGACTCAGGGCTGCTCTGAGAATAACCACTCTGAATGCTCACGTGTTCTCCCTTTCTGCACTCAATTCTTGGTTTGAAAAAAGTTCACTATGGAGAAAAATATGATCTCAAACTCGTCTAAAGATAGAAAATGCAAATAACACACCAACTGTGCACGGAAACACACTCTGAAAACTGATACCAGGAACTCAGCCCACTGCAAGGCAGCCAAGAGCACCTGGACTGGCTCTGGGCTCTCCTGGTGAAGATATAAGGGAAAAGTCAGAGAAACTTCTTGTGGAGACAGTTGAAGTAAAACTGATTCTGCTCCAGCAAAGGAAACATGCAATAAGTAATGTCTCTTTTCTAGAGTAACAGTCTGTCAGGGCTAGATGGATGTGGTGGGTTCTATGCTTAAAACATCATTGCTGAGACTTATTCAAGCATATAAACTGAGTGGAAAAAAAACTCTCAAATGGTGAAATCTACTTTCCACTCATCTCAGAATCACTTCAAATGAACTCTGACAGATCTCAAGAACAGCAAATTCAGTGTTAGGAGCAGATGTGAGACACGCCAGTGCCAGGCTGAGCTGCCCTGGAAACTGAGGGTAACAGCGGCAGCGCTGCGAGGTGCAGCCCAGTCATGGGCACAGCCTGGGCCACAAACCACTTACTCTGCTGTTTCTCCTTCCAGCAGCTGCTCTGAATGTAGTCTATGTAATCCTTTTCAACTGTTTTCTCCAGCTCTTGAAGCTCTGCTCCTTGGTAGTTCTTCTCAAAGTTCTTATCGACGTAGTAAGGCACCTGCAAGTTCTCTGTCTCTCTGCTGATGACGTGGCCTATGGACCTGTGGGAGCAGCACAAGAAATCTTATGTTTGAGCAACTCAAACCTAAAGAAATCCAGAGATTTTAGCATTTCTCGTTGACAGTATTTATAACAGCTTATTTACAGTGAACTGCAGCAGGACTGTGGCTCCCTCAACCATCCAGTAAGGAAATTACAGGTCTCAGGCACAGCACGTTGTGCCTGACAAGCAGAATCCACCCCCTGCTAAAACCACAGGAAAACAGCTATTATTTGGGAATATCTACAAAGAACTGACACTGTTCCTTCTGAATACTGTGTTTGTTCCCAAGAGTTCACTCAAGACACTTGCAAAACAAGAGCAAATTTTATCTGTGAACCCTGCAGACACTGGTTTGCTGGTAATTTCTGTCAAGCTCAGTGTATCCATGGGGATAACAAAGGTAGAGATGATAGGAAAGGCTTAGGGCATGATACAACTGGATCTGGATTTTCCCATTTTCTGGACCCTTTAGAATAAATTAACAAGTCAGGGGGAGATTCTGGCTACACTTTTGTTCAGGGTTTTGTAGTCACCAGTGTGCAAAGTGAGGTGTGGAGTATCAGAGGATGTCCTGCAGGAAGAACGAGCCCCTCTGACACAGCCACTGGATTAATCTGAGCTCTTAGAGTGAATTTCCTTACTTGAGCAAAGACACTATTTGTTCAAATCACTGCCCTGGAGAGAGGCAGGCAGCCAAACACAAAGGTTACACTCTACTCAGTGGAATCCTGCTTGACCCTTTTTCCTGGACTCCTCTGTTCCTTCTCTCTTCCTGTGTCTCAGAGGTGTACACTCTCTTTGGAGAAACTATTTCTCTTAGTTTTCAGGCTGTTTAGTGTTTTCAAGGCTATGATTTAGAGAAACACCCTGACTATCTCCTATCTCCAGGAGAAGGGGAAGCAGGAGAGATTAGTTGCTGTGGGGCAGCGTGGGAGGGTTCACATGGGCCTGGCAGATAGCAAAAACACTCTCTGGGAAAGAGAAGCCACCCAAAAAAACAACCACCCTCCTGCTCCTCTGCCAGGGCCTCACACTGACATCTCGTGGTAAGACCATGAAGGGAGCTGGGCTGCTCTGACAGCAGAGAGGACACAGGCCTCACTCCCAGAAGGGAGCAAGGGGATTATTCAGAACACACTGGTGGTAGTCCAAATCCTACCAACTCGCACTCCTATCTCAGTAAGAGACAGTGAACTCTCCCACCAGAGAGCTTCCCTCCTCCAACCCTGGATGCCCAGACGAGCATGTGGGTTTCCTCTGCTCCACAATCTCAGCTCTGGGGTGGTCCTCCTGCTTCCAGAGCTCACCAGCTCTCCAGGGTCCTGCTGCTCTACAGAAGTTAAACCAGGGCATTTCAAGACCTAACTGATTTGTGGAGCTTCCAGTGGAACTCATGCTCCACAGCAGGTTTGGCTTCAAACTACAAAGCACAGGCTTCATTTTTAATGGCTTTCCAGAGGAACCTCCGTGGTGGTGCAGAGATTCTGGGGGCTGTGCAGAGGCTGATCTACACCCACATCCCTCCTCCTGTACCCCAGTGCATGTCACACCAGCTGAGGATGGTTCCTGGCTCAGTGCCTCTGTGCTCAGCACAATACAGCTCATCAGTCAACTCCACAGTGATAATGCAATGCTGAGGAGAACTCAGCAGTGCAGACCGTGGTATTTCCTCACTTACAAACTGAGAACACTAACGTGCATTTTGCTATCAAATCCAACCCGTGTGCCTGCTTCCTGCAAACAGCGAGAGCAGGAAGAGGTGTTTTCCAAGGACTCACGATTTGTAGAACAAGCTGTAGGGGGGGTTGGTAGCCATCAGCTGGGTGACCACGGACACGATGATGATGATGAACACTGGCATCAGCTGAAGGAATGCAGAATAGGAATTCTGAAAACATAAGAATTAGGAGTCAGGAAAAGACAGAGGAAAAAAGAGGCACCTAGTCACAGAAACTGTCACAGCCCAACAATGGATTGCATAGAAGCTGAAAAAGGAGGAAGCACTTAGGGATTTTGAGAGAAATGTTATTATCATTTCAAAATAACCTGTATTAATAATCTCAGAAAACTCTTGAACACCATTTCAATTCTCTTTTGATCCACCCCTTCCCTCACAAGGCAAGAGATGCCCACAGCACTGTAGCTGTCAGGGCCCAGCTGCAATCCAACGTGTGGAAACACACTGCAGTTCCTGTGTGCTTTCTGTGCACACTCTGAAGTTTGCTACAAGCCCACTAATGACCTCAGTCTCTGGATAAAATGGCTGAGCAGAGAAGGGTTAAGAGACCACACGTAGTCTAACTTGGGCCAGGATGCAACACTTGGGTTTTTGTTTGGATTCATTTATCAGAACAAAATGTCAAAGAGAAAACACAGATCCTTCCCTCTGCTCTTCAGTTTCTTTCTAAACTGGCATCTGAAGTGTCTTTTCTCACCAGGACGCAAACATACCATGCAGCTATTCAGGCTTTGCCCTCTGCCCTGGATAGCAACAAGGATTGCTGATGTAGTAGTAGGTGATTCACAGAATCATTTGGGTTGGAAAAGACCTCCAAGATCACTGAGTCCAACCTGTGACCCATCACCACCTTGACAACTAGACCAGAGCACTGAGTGCCACATCCAGTCATTCCTTGAACACCTCCAGGGATGGTGACTCCACCACCTACTTGTCCACCTCCTTCCAATACCTGACAGCCCTTTCCATAGAGAAATTCTTCCTGATGTCCAACCTGAACTTCCTCTGGCACAGCTTGAGGCCATTTCCTCTTGTGCTGTCCCTTGTTCCCTGGGAGCAGAGCCTGACCCCACCTGGCTGCACCTCCTGGCAGGGAGTTGGAGAGAGTGAGAAGGTTCCTCCTGAGCCTCCTTTTCTCCAAGCTGAGCCTCAACAGCTCCCTCAGCCTCTCCTTGGCTCCAGGCCCTTCCCCAGCTCCGTTCTTTTCCTCAGACATGCTCCAGCCCCTCCATGTCTCTCTTGCACTGAGGGTCCAGATTCACTTGTCCTAGCTTACTGTCTGTCAGCTCTATCAGATTCTTCTTCAGAGCCTAAGAAACTCCCAAGGAAAAACTCCTCTTTCTTGGAGAACAACCCCATCAGGTTAACAGACTGTAAGATTTTTTCCAAGGCAGGTGGCAGGTGTGTAAGTGTCTCACCTGGAGGTCCCAGCTGGTAGAGATGTATCCCAGCCCCAAGGCATAGGGCTGGAAGAGACCTGTGCAGCACCTGTGTGCTAATTTACTGAAGGATTAAACACACCTTGAGGACAAGGCAGTGCTTCCGTATCCATCCGTATCCAATTAGTCCCCCTTTGGACTAATTGCTATGGGATTACCAAACCATTAGAGCTTGCAAAGAGCAAGCAGCAGCAAACCCCTCTGTGACAGAACTGCAGGGCCCACGATCCCACCAGCACAGTATGTTTGTAAAGCAGTGATTAATAAAAGCCAACTTAGCTCCACAGAAAGCATCCACTTTGCTGCAGTGTTTGAGGATAAACACTAAGCACTCAAGCATGGGAAGGTTTGTCCTGGCTTCTAAGTGGATCCTTCACCCTGGTGAGGCATTTAAGCCCAAGATATCCCTCCTCCTGGCTACCTGTGGCCTGTTTTCCTCCTCCTCTGGCTCGTGTGTCCATGCCCTCTCCGGACGGTGCCTCCGTGGGTAATAGTGTGGATCTCTGGTTACATTGGAGAACATATGGATATTTCCTGGAAAAGAAACCAAGAGAGTCATGTTTCATCCAGTCGCTGGTGCTCACCTGTACTCCTGAGGTTCTATTCAATTCTCCAGGTTTATACTGCACAGCCTGAATTACAGTTGTGAGACCTCACATTAAAAGCACAACCAGCCTCAGACTGAAATGACAAAATACTATGTCATTGCAAGCATCCAACCAGAGACATTGTGAAGTGCATTTTCATTTAGATCAAAGCCTGTTCTGATCTGTATTGTTTTACCTCATATTTTCACGCTGCTTTTGTCACACCCACCTGCAAGGCTGTGGCAGCAATCTGCTTCTGCAGGCTCGGGCCATGCATGAGTTACAGCCTCCCATAACCACTGAATATGGTCCTCTACCCTCATTTCTGCTTCCTCTGCCTTCAAGCCACTAATAGCTTCACTTAATTATTTTATAAGGAAATATATTTTAAAAACAGCTTTTTCAGAGAACAAGAACAATTCAGGCTCTCCTTTCTTGTGCCCAGAATGCAGCTGACTTATGTCTAAATGCTCTAAAACGAGGCAAGAATTGCACACGCTGCTTCCATCTGAAGCTTGGACTCTTAATTTTATCACCATATGAGTATCTTAATAATAGCTGTGCTCTCCTCTTTTGAAATCCAGAGTGTCCCTGTGTTAGAGAACGGGAATCTGTGGCTTATCACCACACCACAAATGCACATCTATTTTTAACCCCTGGGAAAATTGTCACAATGAAGGTGACCTGTTGTGTCAAAACCTCTGTTTCACTGCTTGTTCAAAGGGTTTTCCAAGCTCTAGGCATGTGTGCAGAGCTCCAACAGGGAGAAAAGCCAGGAGGCTCCAAGGAGGAAAGAAAGTTTGCTTCTATCCTTCAGCATTGCTCAGTGTTTTACTAAGCCGTGGAAAACACAAGCGTGGGAAGAGAAGAATGATATTTACAGGGTGCCTAGGAAAGAGTTTTCCCAAATTCTAAGCTTCTCCAAGGATTTCTGCCAGCAGTTCCCTTCCTTCCATGTGCATTGATGTTTTAATGAGGACATTCAACTCATAGCCTCTGCCCAGTCTAACTGCACCACTGTGCCATGTGGAGTCTCCTTTGAGCTTCAGAACACTTAACATTTTAGCTTTTCATATTTTCCCACTGAATATCCGTAGAGGAAAACTGCAGAGCCATAAACCTGCCCACAGAATCCATACAAATGGGTTCACCCCAAGAGCAGCACTTCCAGTCTGGGTTTCCAGAAAGTCTGGGGCTAGCAAGGTGTCACAAGACAAACACCAACTGCAGCTCAGCACAACCTTCAGCTCACCAAGTCCTACTGAATGTTACAACAGCTTAGAAAATGTTCTCTTTACACCAACCATCTGGACTAGCAACTCTCTTGCTAAGTAGAAACTGGAAGGACTTTGCCAATTTGGAAAACTATTAAACTTGTGACTTCCCATAATTTAAAACTCACTTTTACATTAGGAAAATGTATAAAAATTTAGAGCCAAACATTTTTTTTTGTGAGGAAACTATTGTTTGCTACTAACATCTACTATGAAATATCTTTTCCTTTACTTGTTTTTTGCCACTTAGCTAAAAATTCCCATTTTCTCCTTTGTGCCACTCTCCCTGTTAAACCTGCCATGCCCAGGACACAAATTCCTCCCTCATCTCAATTTCCTGTCCCCAGCTCCAAGCATCCCTGTGCCCTGCACTCCTGTTCCCTGTTCCACAAGGGCAATGCTCCACAAAGGGCACAGACAGGTGCAATTCCTTGCACAGTCCCAAATGGAAAACTTGCAAACTCCAGGTGGAATTACACCATGCTGGGGTTGGTTCATTCTCCATATCTACTGATCCAAGTCTGGGAACAGCCTGAGGTCCCCTTAGCTGCAAGATGCACTTCACAGGGAGGTTATGTGGAGCTGGCAAGTAACTTACTGCATGTGTGGCTTTAGGCTGTAGGAACTGGTGCTGTGTGTCACTTTATGTGACACCTCTGAGGTGAAAAGCCCCTAAGAGTGCTAAAGCAATTCCTTGGGATGCTGCCAGCAAGGCCCTGGAGCTCACCACACCTTTTGGAATGACTTTTAATCCACGGATCTTGCAATAACTTCCTATTTTCCTACAAATACAAAAGCCAAGGCTGGACTGAGACACACACAGAGCTGCTACAGGTGCAGCTGCACTGCTGTGTTACTGGATACTGCAGATCCACTGACAGCCTCTCCTGGCAAGCAGCACCTGCTGAGCTACCAAGCTTTCATTTCATTCCAGCATGAAGGCTGCTGCAAGGAGAAGGAGCTTCTGTTTCCCTGGTTATAGGGGCACAACGCCAGGAGCTGTACCATGGTGGGCTGGAATGCTGTAAGGTGCCTCCAGTACAACCCAGTCATGGAAAAGACCTCTGAGGTGATCAAATCCAACCATCATCAACGACACCTCTGATCCCTTCCCATTCACACCTTATTTTACCTCCCATACCACTGCAGGCTTCAGGCAATGGAGGGAATAAAAGAAGGGCAGAAAACAAAGCCAGGGAGGTTTCTGCTCTTTTCAGGTGTATAATGAACTCCCTGAGCAGAGCCAGAGGAAGCTGAACTTCCTTTATGGTTTATAGAATCATAGAATCATGGAATGTCCTGAGTTGGATAAAGGCTGAATAAAGTCTTGAGCAACCTGGTCTGGTCAGGCTTCAGGCAATGGAGGGAATAAAAGAAGGGCAGAAAACAAAGCCAGGGAGGTTTCTGCTCTTTTCAGGTGTATAATGAACTCCCTGAGCAGAGCCAGAGGAAGCTGAACTTCCTTTATGGTTTATAGAATCATAGAATCATGGAATGTCCTGAGTTGGATAAAGGCTGAATAAAGTCTTGAGCAACCTGGTCTGGTGGGAGGGGAGGTTGCCAGGGGGTTGGGACTAGATGATCAATAAGGTCCATTCTAACCCCTTAACATTCTATGTTACTATAGGTTCAACGGACCCACAAGGACCATCAGTCCATTAGTGTCCATTGCACTTCCAACCCACTGCAGACAGTACTGACCTGTAGGGAAGTGCCCACCAAAAAACACATTGAATATTTCTTCTGGTGTGATGTCTGCTTCGAACTCTGTGTAGTAGTCATAGTGCCTGGCCTGGCCCGTGCTGACCTGCTCCTGGTCGCTGCCGAACTCGTCGTACCGCAGACGCTTCTCAGGGTTGCTCAGGACTGCAAAGGCATTGCCTATTGCTGCAGGGGGAATCACAACCAGGGTTATATTTCCAGAGCTCACACTTCTACAGGCAGAGTAGCAAAAAAAACCCCGAACAAGCATAGGAAATGTGATGGGAACTACTTCCTGCTGCCACAATACCAGGAGGGACACAACAGTGTGAAAGTGTACAGAGAGAACTGAAGTATTTGTAAATCTGTGGTGAAAATATCTATTTCAGCCAAGAAATTGAGTGAGAATGGGACATTTTATCAGCTCAAACCAATCCACTACAAAGTGCACCTTCATACATCACACACAGTTACCACAAAGTTAGTAACTGCAGAGACTAATTAAAATGCAGAGCAACACTCCAAGGTTTTCCTGTTGGCAGAGGAGCTGTGCAGCACATCTATTTCACACTTCACAGCCAACCACCCACAAGTATTTGTTTGGGTCCTCTTCCTTGATCTCTGACAGGACAAGTTCATCGAGCATTACAATCCAAACACAAAAATATAAAGAAAAGCCCTTCCAAACCTCCTTCTTTTAACAGACATGAATGAATCATGCCCTTTCCTCGTGCTGGGCTGCAACACAGCATGGAAGAAGCGGCAAAAGATGTGCAACTCTGGATAGCAACACTGTTGATATGGGACTGAAACATCACTGAACAGTCCAGAGAGAGCACATTGGATTCAGTCTTATATCCTTCCAGACATATATAGATATAGATACGTATAAAGTTATTTGTGACACAGAGCAGTTACTGATTACACAACACCTCATTCTCCTGCACGAACAGTGCTAGTTCCAAGCCCTGTTCTGAACCTTCTGCAGTATCACAAAATCCCAGGATGGTTTGGGTTGGAACTGACCTTAAAGCTCAACTCATTCCACCCCCTGCCATGGGCAGGGGCACCTCCCACTAGACCAGGTTGTTCAAGGCTTTGTCCAACATGACTTTGAACACTGCCAGGGTTCAGGTATCCACTGCCTCCCTAGAGAGCCTCTTCCAGTGTCTCACCACCCTCACAGTAAAAAAACCTTTCCTGATATCTAATCTAAATTTCCCCTCTTTGAGTTTGAACCCATTACCCCTTGTCCTATCACTGCAGTTCCTAACAAAGAGTCCCTCTCCAGCTTCCCTGCAGGCCCCTTCAGATACTGGAAGGTTGCTATAAGGTCTCCATGCAACCTTCTCTTCTCCAGGCAGAATGGCCCCAACTTCCTCAGCCTGTCTTCGTGGGGGATATGCTCCAATCCTCTTATTAAATTTGTGGGCCTCCTCTGGACTTGCTCTAATAGTTCTATGCTCTTCTTACGTTGAGGGCACCAGAACTGCACACAGTATTCCAGGTGGGATTTCATGGTGCTTGAGCAGTGACCATTAGAGACAGGAGTATCTTGCGTTCAAGGGACCTTAAAGCTCAGCCCACTCC